AAAAAACACTTATAAATAAATATAAACGAGTAAGTGAAAAATCATTTGAATGCTAACGACTGGTCTTAATTATTTTGCCAATAAGAGTAAATTGTTCATCATTGGAATTGAAAAAGGTACTTCTCTCACTTTGGGAGAAACATCAATCCACATGCAATGTTTTTTTTTTTTTTGAAAATCAAAAACCAGTAATGAAGAGGACTACTGCTTTCGATAATTCTATCATCCCTCATTCCGAGGATCCATGTATATCCTTCTTCTTTTTTATTTTAATCTTTCCTCTCTCATAACTCACACGTACGAATTTTATTTTTATATTAAGAGTATTTTTTCTAAAATTTATATTATAAAGGTATAAAATAAAAATATATTAATTATATATTTTTATATATAATTTTTATAAAAATAAAAATTTTATTTTATTTTATCATCTATGTAATTTTTAATAAAATAATTAATAAAATTAAAATTGTTTTTCAATTTTTAATATATTAATTACAAAAATAATAATATAAATATACTTTAATACTGAGAGCTTCAAAATTCCCTTTTGTAAATTGTTTTAGAATAAATTCAGTCTCGAGTTGGCTGTAAAAGATGATTTAATAAAACTCACAAGTTAAAATATTAAATTTTATGAATTTCAGAGCCAATTTTATGCAACTTGTTTTGTATTGTATTCTCTGATTTTTGAGACGATATTGAACTTATTTTTAAAAAAATGTGGGTACTGTTAATTTAGAAAAAAAAAAGAAAAAAAAAAGGGAGGTTGAAGAAGAAAACTGATAGACCATGGAGTCTAACTATCCGAGGAAGATACATTCATATCAAGATGCATAACATAAAGAAGAAAAAGGAGGAGTAAAAATGGGAAAAATTTTCTTGAGGTACTCTACCCTACTGTTTGAACAAAACAAATGGGCATTGATGACAACCCGCACGAGTCTCTTCATTGGATTCTCTTACAGGATGCTGGGTGGGGTGGTTGCTGCCTACTCCTCAGACACACCATCTCTGACAACATGTTTTCTACCTTTCAGAATTATTAAAAACATCAAAAAAGTAAACAGCCTCCTTTTTCCATCTAGTAGCTAGTAAGTCATTAGTATCTTCTTTCTTTTTATCACTTAATTCAGCCATGGTTTTGGTTGCTGCTTCCCACACCACACCACTAGAAAAGCTTAATTAACCCTATATATTCTCACTTAAGGCTAAGGCAAAGGTGGAATTAAGTATTCTTCTGTTTGCTTCACATCAAATTAAAATCAGCCCTTTTGGGTGGATCTTCTATTAATTCACAAATTAGGCCATCAATTTAAGTTGAGTCTTCTAATTATTCAATCAATTTTCCTGGCCGTCAAAAACAGTTCTAACATGGTTAAGGTGTTCGGTTTGTCATTGGAAAAATACCCAGAAGCCATATATATATACACACAAACGTGAGAGTTTAGAAAATCGGGATGTTTATTTGTTGAGTGAGTTTCAAAGATAGTATCCACTCAAGGGATGATTGTAATAGATGTCTTGAGTCTCAATGGATGATTGTGACTCAAGATATCCTTATTTTCATATTTTTTTTTGGATCATGATTAGTGCACATTCGGATTCAACACTCGGGTGTGCACCCTTCACATAAAAAAAAAAATTGGGCCAGATGTTCTTCATTTTTTTTTTTTTATGTGGAGTGTGCACACTCAGATATTAAATCCGGATGTCCATACATCATTTTCTTTTTTGTTTATATATATATATAAATTTTTACATTACTGCTTGAAATATAGGAAACAAAATCCATACATCAAATTAAAAGCACCCATTAATATTACATTGCACTCTTTCAAACTCCCAAAGTCAGCAATACATTTGAAAAAAAAAAGGAGACAAATATTAAGCAGAAAAGTTGGAAATAAAGCTAAATTAAGTGATTAGTATGTACCCTACAATTTGAAAACCCAACTAATTAATTAAAAATCTAAAATTAGCACCCCCAAAGGCAAGCAATTTCCTACCAACTCTTCTTAAATCATTCACTCCAAAATATCTCAAACTCTCTCTTTCACTCTATACCTTTCAATGATCAAATGTAAGAACAACTCATATTAACTATTGAGATAATATGATCATACTGAGATATCTCTAAGAGCAAAGCAGAAGAAAAGCTCTAAATCAGGAGAGGCAAAGAAAGCAATAGGCTTTCTCTTCTGGAATGAGCAATTGGAGAGTACCCTTTGCTTCTTTGGTGCTGGAGGGCATGTGTGGATCTCCGGTATCCGAAATCTCTGAGCTTTTGGTGTGGAGCAAGGACTTCCAGGGATATGATCATCACCAACACCTCCAAAATTAAAGCCACCAACCATGCTTGTAGGGGAACCCTCCTCCGCTGCTTTCTTATTCTCTGCCTTTGCACTTGCAACCCTCTTCTTGTACTGACTTCTTCTGGGTTTTTTTGTTCTTGTTCTGCAACTTCTAGTACTGGAGGGTGCCATTTTTACAGAATGAGAAAAACAGAAACCAAGAAGAAGAAAAAGAAAGGAGGACAGTTAAGTACTAAAACTGGAGAGAAGAAGTTAAAAAGGCTTGAGGGACTCTTTAAAGCAGCTAAATTTGACTGAAAAGTGGAACTGAGAAACCCTTAAGAAACAGAGCTTTTTCAACAAACCCGAAGGGACAAAGAGAGCCACCCAAAAATGGAGTGACTAACTGTTTTTGCTAAATCACAACAAGACTCAAGGTTTGAAGAAAAACCCTAGTCTTGAAGTGGAAAAGATGACTTGCATTATGGGAGGAAACAGAACTACAGTACTGAGCATGAAAAGCCCTAAATCAAAACCCTAAAATGGAGAAATGGAGGGAGGGAGGAATAGAATGGAGAGGCTTTATACTGGTTAATTAGTAATGATACGATTCGGGCAGGTCTGCCCGGCTGCCCTAAAGGGGGAAAAAAGAGGGAGAAAAATGCTTTTCAAAATTACATTAATTCCGAGTCAATTTAGGGATTAGTGGGGATTTTTGGATTAAGTTTTGAGGAGATTATGACTCAGTAATTTATAATGAAAAGTGGTACTCTGAATTTCTGTCTCCTTTCTTCGTCTATAAGCAAATTAGCTAAAATTTAAATTAATAGTATGTTTGGATTAGAGAAGTAGAAAGAGGAGGGAAGGAGAATGAGGAGAAAGAGGTGATTGTTTTTTATTTGGTTTAACAATTTTAATAGGTGGGAGGAGATAGAGTCTTTTTTCTCTTTTATTTTCAATCCTTTTAATTTAAAGAAGTTGTGATGAATTGCATTAGTCTACTTATTTTTTAAAAAAATATTTTAAAGAATAAATATATGTAAATATTTAATTTTAACTATTTTTTAATTACTAAAATTTAAAATTTTTATTTTTATTTTATTTTTATAAAATTATTTAATTAAATAAAAATATTAACTTTTAGAAATAGTACTTATCAGCTTTACTTCCTAAAGATTAGGAAGAAAATCATCCCAAAACTACATCATTTCAATAAATTTTTATTGAAAAAGACTAAACTACCTTAATTTTTAAATATGCATTAAGTTGATTTTTATCTTTTTTCCTCCTAATTTTTTTAATGTAAAACAGATAAGCACTAACCTCTTATCTTTTTCTCTCCTTTACTTTTGTTTATTCAAATAATATTAATATCAACTTTTTTTTTCCTTTCACTTCTTTTTCCTTCTCTTTTCCTTCCTCCTCATTCATCTTTTTACTAATTTTTATCTAAATAAATGCTACAGCAAAATAGAGATAAAAAATAAGGGATATATATATTGTATATAGAGTTTTACTCTCAATCTAGTAGATGTTTAATTTTTGCAGCATGATTAATATTTCGAAAAATGTAATAGCTGATTAAATACTCTTTTTATGTAAATCATGTACATTAATCTACAGAAGCAATTAATTGAAGTGATTCAAGTTTTAAAGCATGTAAGAAAAAAAAAATGGAAAAATGATGGATACCACACAATGAGTAGTTACTTGTAGTTAAGATTTTGTTTGATTTTTTAAATCAAAAATTCAAATACCACAAAATCAGTAATACTCCTACTTAATAGTAATTAATTGTAAAGTTGAAAATTGAAAAAACAGAGAAAAGGGTTTGGGATTTGGGAAGGGGGCAGGGGGCAGGGTCGTGCTGCTCTGACAGTTTAATAAATTTGATTGATACCCTCTTTGTTTTCAACTCTTTCCTTGTTTTGTTGTTTTGCTTGGCAGCTTCTGAATCCTCTGCATCAGGGGATCCTAAAATGGACCTCCACATGCCTCATTTTATCTGCTATTTGTCAATTTCATGCCATGCTCAATAAAATATTTATAAACATTGTTCCTAAATGGCAGTTCCTCCCATGTTATGATGTTAAGAAATCATACTAACGCCTGAAAGAGATTTCTGAGATAATCAATTTTCTATTGATTAAAAATATCACATTACAAGTACTCCCGTGATACATTTGATTTTCTCAATCTTCAACCTTTGTCTATTCTAGTATCTCTTTGGAAGAGAACAAGTTTGATTTTGTAAGGAAGGATTAAAGAAAAAGAGTTGAAAGATAAAATCAAGTAAAAGAAACTTCAAACTGAAAATGAGCACTGATAAGTTTGGTGAAGAGGGTTTTGCTCTGCGGCAGCTCTAACGCCGGATTGTGGGCATGAAGCACATGAATGCAGCACAGAGATTTACAAAGTGGAGAAATGGTGGTGTGCGTTACTAAAGCGTTGAGTTTCACAATGTAACTTTGTGACTTAATAGAAAAGCATTTGGAAATGATACTCAATCCATCAGGATTTTGAACAATGCTACTACTATATACTAATATATGAACTGATGAGATCTGATAATCACTGTTGCTACAATAATGACATTACAGACACCAAGGTAACCGTGGAAATGATCAATTCACTGAATTTCTCAAGACAAAATTTATGAACTATGAAAGATTTGCCTGCAGAACCTATCGAAGTTTGCATTTGGATCACCATCTTGGGGGGTGGGTGGTCATTGTGCATATAATGTATGAAGAAGGTTCCTAATCCTTGTTCATCTATGCTGATCCTGACGGCTACATGCATAATTACTGGAGTCCTTTCTTCAACTTAACCAGAAATGCCCAAGGAATTCTGCTACCATGAGGTCCATGACCTTTTTTCTATCAGATGCATGCTACACCAGTTTGTCGAGCCGCAATTAATCAAACACTGTAAGGATTTGAACAAGAGAGATAAAAAGTCTAACCACCATGCATAGCTGCTAATGCTTAACTCACAACATGTAACAACCTGCCCTCTAAACAATGGCTAAGGGTATCTAACTAGTAACTCCCAAGAAAAAAAAAAAATACTGATAAATCAAAATTCCATAAGAGTGAGATGGAAGAAGAAATCAAAACAAATACAGACTAGCAAATAAATAGAAAAACTATTGTTAGGAAGAGTCACCTTCCTCTTGTAATAGCTTCATCCATCTCCTCAGTGGATGAAGGAAACAACTCAATATAACGACTCCCAAGT